CAAATACAAGAAGCCACTTAATGATCTGTAGTCTTATTATGAGTACAAAGGATGCTTCTATATCCTCTCTACTTGTGAATACACTATGTGCCCAATGTAGTTTTATTTTTAGTAATACTTCTTAGGTCTTCGAAATTGTTCCTAAAGGCTTATTAGTTCCAATAACATTTTGATTATATTTCCTAGATACTAATTCCAAATAATTAAGAGATAATTGATTCTGATATATTTTATTTCTACAATCCAAACAGATTTTGATTTTGATATCTTTACGCGAAGTGATCGTCAGCGTCCCACGACATCATCGTTGACGTCTTTGCCTATTTAGGTCGACTTCTTTGACTATTTCTTACAATAAGATCTGCTTCTTGCGAATAGGCCTATGACTTATAGTGCTTCCTACAAAGGCATCCTCTTCTTCCTGCGAGTCTTCCTCCGCTTTGAACGGTGCCATCTGCATCGACTTTGCCTTCAATTTTGCCTCCACTTGCTTCATACGCCCTATCTGCACCAACAAGATTAGGGCATCGATGAAGCCGACGTGTTCTGCTTGGTCTGCATCCTCGGTTGTTGTGCTTTTCTTGGTTTCTATGTTTTGCTCTGTCTACGTCTTTTTCCTTGGATCGTTGGGATCAAATTTTTTTCTTTTATCTTGACGAGATCTTTGAACAGCGGGTTGGAGAGTTCTTTATGTTTGAGTGCTTTGCAAGTTTTCCCTTCAGTACTTATTGGCATCGATTATGGCTGGTGAACACAAACATCTTGTGATAGGTTTGGTTTTATCAGTGACTAAGATTTCATATGAAAAGTTGAATAACATCAACTATTTTTATTGGAATAAAACTGACTCTTTTTAATGAGTATTTCTCAAGAGAGGCAACTCATTGATAATCCTTCAGCCGAGATTGAGTTGAATTATTCTGAGTGGATGAGAGAGAATACTCAGCTTTTGATACAAATACGAAATTCTATCTAATATGATCAATCCAGACATCTTACTCATTGTGATTGTGTTAAAGATGCAATGATAAAATTTTTATTTGTGTTTTCTGGGAGAGAATATTTCTCGAATATTTGATGATGTAAAAAATTGTGTCATACCGAACAACGAGATCATTCACTTAACATGTATCACATGCACTTTAAATGTGTGTTTGAAGAGTTAAGCACACTATTGCCCTTTAGTACCCCGATGTTCGGATTCAACAGACTTAGAAAGAACAAATGACTATCATGATTTTTCTAGCTTACCTCAACTCTTATTATGAAGGTGTCAAAATCATAGATCTTTTCTAACCCTGGATTTACTATCATGAGGGAAGCCTATACTAGAGCATTGCGTATGATCCCAAGTTTTTATGCTCATCCATACAACAATATAGTGCTCTTGCTAGTCTAAAAAATACAAACATCAACAAACCTAAGTGTCAGGACAGTTACAGAAGTGGAACTCTGAATTTCGGAAATCATTGGTCTAAGGTAGTGTGTTATTACTCTCATAAATCAAATCATACGAATAGAACCTGTCAGAAGTTGCTCAAAAAGAACCAAAAGGGTTTTAAGTACAATTATCTCATATTGTCACTACTACCGAGGATTCTCCGAATCAGACTCTCTCAATCCTTATAGATGAATCATTCCAAGTTCATCAAATTTCAAGAAGCATCCAAGAAATTCCCATCAATCACTGCACTTGTTGAGTTTGGTAACAATGATATTTGTTTTCTTTTATCTTCCATACAATGGGTCATTGATTATGGTGCTACATATCACATGACAGGTAATCAAAAACTTTTTTCTAGCTTTCATTACCACCTTTCTTCCATCACTTTAGCAGATGGATCAACCTCTCTAAACTGAGACAATGAGGTAAATTGAGAATAGGCGTTAGAGTTAATTGGGGTGTAATATTGATGGATCTAACTCCTGTGTAGCACTCAAAAGGAGATCTAATTATAGGTAATGCTATTCTTAATTTGCCTCATTTTGCTTTTAATCTTATTTCTGTTAGTAAAATGACATGTGTTCTTAATTGTTGTTTCTTATTCATTCCTGATCATTGCCTGTTTCAGGATCTTATGACATAGAAGATTATTTTATATAGGACGAGAATTGGGGGCTGGGGTGGCGGGGGCTATACATTTTGGATAATGAGGCACCTCGACTCATAGATAAATCCAATGTACAATCTTACTCAAATTTCATAAAATCCTAAAGTTAGAACTAATTTTAAATGTATCATGTTTGATAATTGGAATGAATATTTTGATTAAGCTCCTTCCTCTTCCCTCCACAAAAAATGGCATCATCCATGAGTCATCTCTTGCTGATACTCTACAATAAAATGGTTTCACAAAGTGTATAATTTTGTTTCAACCATGTTAGATGAGTCATCTATCATTTAGAGTACTAATATCTATCTTCTGATATCTTCAGCCAAGAAACTAGCATTATACTATCATTTCCCCATTATAGGCCTTATTTGAGTTGTGGAAGGACGCCAACAATATAGGATTGGAATAGCTCTGACAATTATTCTCATGTGCACTGGAATGAGTAGTGGAATATCAGTATGGTAAACCTTTTTATTAACCTTATATCTTAAAGATTATGAAACTACTTATAATATATTGTTCTTGATTTGATTGAAAAAATTGTGATTGGATCTGATGGAAATAAAATATAAGCTAATTTAACAATTATAAAATAATTATATATTTCATAGTATTTTAGTCTGAATTAAGCATAGTTAACAAAAATGAAGATAATTATTGATCAAATTGTCTTGCAAATTTTTTTTCTTAAATTTATTTAACTAATACACATAAAATCTACAATTTTAAAGCAATTTTGGAGTAATTTATATTATTTTCTTAATGTTTTTCTAAAGAGAGCTTGAGCCAAGGAATACTCATTTAGTAAAATACAAACTAGATTTTCTAATGATTTTATTTTATTGTAAACTTCATTGTGATCTTCTTTATCATCTCTTGAGCTTGTTTTACGCTTCCCTTACTTCCATGGTCATTGAAATAGTCATCAATTGTCTTGAATCTTGCAACTATGTTCATGCAATCTTTCAGTCCTGAAATCACAACAGAGAATATTAGCATCTTTGATCATATGCTTGTTGTCATTAAAATAAATTCACATACATAATGGGCTCATAGGATTAACACACATTAGTCGAAGTCATGCAAATTTCAAAGACACAAATGACAAGGGGAACTCACTCTCTTCACTCTCAGTAGAATGTCCAAAGGATTTTTTACCTACATGTTCTGGAGCATTTAGATCGATAATTTCATGCTACGAAACCTGTATTGGTAAAGTTCATTCAGAGAATTATCCATGGTTTTAACAGTCTCCCTGTCAAAAGGTCACTTACATTTCATCAATTAGTAACATAGGTATGATATTAGAGGGCCAACTACAAATGAAATAGGTAAATTAATTCAACTTAACAGTTTTTGGGAACCCTACAGAAATTTCCTTTGTTTTTATAGGTTTTCTTTTCCCGCCTTGCTCTAGTTCCTCTTTCTTGATCATCATCTCACTCTCTTCACCAGATAATTCTTTCACCGTTACTTTTTTTCTCAGAGCACGCTGACAAAATAAAGGTAATTATGCTTTTATCAAGATTTAACTTGACTTAAAATGGAATATCAATAAGAAAAGGCAAATTCCTTAATAACAAAGTTAATGTAGAGAATGTAAGTTAAATATTCATGTGTTTTTAATGGATCTTTAAAGGAATTTGATATCATATCGAAAGAATTAAGTTGGCAGGAATTAATGCTAAATATTTTATGCAAAGCATGCACAGAGAATTTACAGGCACAACAGGGGGGAAACAAATAGTCTAACTCGTTGTTGTAGTTAAAAAATAAAGAAAAAAAATCGTTGCTGTGGTTAAAACTATTTGAAGTACATGAATAGACCAAAATTTTAACCAAATGGTGACCAAAATTTTAACCAAATGGTGTATTGAATAGGACTAGTTTATAGTAATATTTCTTTTCCTGCTTGCCTATCAATCCTTTCCTCTTATTATCATATTTCAAGTTTCAATCATTTAGTTCTCTATTACTTGTACTAAAAACGTTCAGAGAATTAAATTAAAGTTTTTTTTTTCTTTTCAATTGTTTGAGTTCTTCATGTATTTTAATAGTTTTTTGTCTGTGGCTTTCATATATTTTCGATGATGATGAACTTATTATTTTGGAATAATACTGATATTATCACTTTAATGGTGAACTGATTTTATGAAGTTGAAATTGCTTGCTTTGTCAGAGGTTAGGAAAAAATTGAATTGCAAAATTTAAATATAATTATCTGTAAAAGAGTTAAAATTTGTCGTAGATTTGTTATTTCAAGAAATAAGTCTTTAGTACCAACAACAGTTATCTCAAGCAAGGATCAAAATGATTCGAGAGTTTGAGATCTGTACTTTTGTGTCCTCTTCAAGAATATCTTTTAGCTCTGCCTCAGCCCATTCATTTCTATTATGCAGATGGGGTAAATACAAACTTGCTTTCATTTTACTGTTCATGCAGATGACCTTAAGTTCAAATCGATGATGCTAGCACTTTCATTTGACTTCAATGGTCATTAGACTTCCAATGTTTTGTCAGAAAAAAGAAAATAAAAAAAGACTTTGCTAATGTTTGCTATATAATTTATTTTATTGAATTTGAACGTGTTTCTGCTTCAGTTTCTTATGAATTTTTGGACTGTTTATGTGCATTACTTGAGCATGCATTCTGATGCCAACATGCATTTCTTCGTACAATGTAATGCCCATCTTATTGATGCAGTCTTATTTCTGAATAATGTTTTATTCAAATAAAACCTCTTCTTAGAATAATATAAGGGTATTTTAGTTATTGCTTTTCTTCATATATAATTTAAATTTCATTCCTTGAGAATCTATTTTCTCATTAATTTAACACTTGTTGCATCCTTATTGCATTCTTGAGCTTTGATTTTGTCGATTTCAGCTTTGCTGCAGCTGAAAAAATATTATAGCTCAAAGCAGCCTGGTGATGGACTAGCCTCTAAACAGCACATTCTGTATCTTGGCTCTGCGCAGGTGGTTTTGACTCTCGTAAGTGGAATATGGGTAATTGAGCATATAATATATTCCCTATTTTCAAGTAACTGTGAGTCGCAGCATTTATGTTTCATATTGTTTTGCAAAACTGTAAGCTTTTTTTGCAATTTTACCCTTACATTTATGAATGCCTTCATTCTGTATGCTACTTGCAATGATTTTATGCTCTTTAAGTGTACCTCTATACCGTGTTACTTTTTTAATTAACAGCAAACATATATTACACTTTTTCCATCTATTGCATCAACGTTCAAGCTCCTTTGATTAGGTTATATATGATTAAACAATGGTTTTTTAAATTAGTTCTTCAAATTGATTCCTCTAAGGTAACTAACCAAAAAAGACTTGATAAAAAATCAGAGAAGGCTTGAAAAACTAGATATATTCCATCTTTTACTCTTAGTTCTTCATGCTCAAACACTTCCTAGTATGAATACTCTTCCTTAGGGGCCTCAGCCCCCCCTTCTTCCCCCAGACTTTTTGAATAGCCATGATTCTTATTTTTTCATCCTCTGAATTCAGGAGCGAACCATTGATCAATGGTTGCATTAACGATTGGTGATCGTGCAACAAGTGACATTGTTGTCAGGCTAAGGACACATGAAGGTCGGGATGATTGGTTCTACTGCCATTCTAATATTCTCATAGAAAAGAGCAAGTACTTTGCTGAGCGTCTCTCTGAGGATTGGCCTACATGCCAGATAATTGATTCTCGTAACTGTGTAGAAGTCTACTGCCAAGAATTGGATTTTAACTTTCACGTGACTGCCCTTCGCTTGCTTTATATGAAAGGGCCTTTGAAATGGCATGGAGTAAGAAATGCGCTTGGCGTCCTCCAAGTTGCCATCCATCTTGGTTGTCATCAAATGGCAAGTGATTGCATGGAGTATCTAGAAGCCGTTCCATGGGAGGAGGCTGAGGAAGAGGAGATTTTAAAGACAATTCCAAACCTAGGAGAACAGTACAAAGGCATTTTATCTCGCCTTCAACCAGTTTGCGATACTTCACTTATTAGGATTTTCATCTTTGCAATCCGATTCGCGACTTCATCGCCCCCTATATCCATGCGGGAACTGAAAACTTCTGCTCAGGAGCAGCTGGAGTACTTGCTCACTGAGGACGATGACCCCCCTCTTTTTGCCTTGGATGATGAGTTCATAAGGTCAATTGTGAAGGATTGCATTAAGAGCTTGTTGTCCAGATTTGACAGTTTAATTGAATCTATGTTGACTGGATCAGTTGATACTGTCTTGGAGAGAAAAGCCCATGAATTTTGGTCGCATCTATGCGATATGTCGTGGATTTGTCAGATACTTGGCAAGATAGAAATGATGAAGGATTTGGTGCATTACTGGTTGGAGACATCTGCAAACATACTTAGAGCATTTGAGCTCGTGAAATCGGTTTCTGACGACATGGACGTTGAATTAAAATTAGTTGAGGTGGTTTCCAAGGTGCTGGAGGCCATTGGATTTGGTAATGCCGTTGTTCCTACCATGGGCAGGATTAGCATGGTGAAGCTTTGGCTTCCTTTTGTGCAGGGAGTGAGGGCTTCGATAGAGCAGGATAAAATCAGAAGTGAAGAAGACTCACCAGCTAAGTTGGATGGTGAGATTTGGCAGGGAATGGAATCAGCATTTGTTTCAATTATTCTCACTTTACCATCATCAGATCAAGCGGCTATTTTATCAGATTGGTTAAGATCTGAATATGCTGGGTATCCGGATCTAACTGAGGCTTTTGAACTCTGGTGTTACAGGAGCAAGGTTGCCAGAAGAAGACTTGCTAATTTAGGTAACCCTGGTAATGGTTCTTAAGTTGTCCTTGTTTGATGGAGGATGAAGATGTGAAGAGTGTTGTGTTGAGAATTGTGTTATGATCTCTTAGTTGCAGGATTTCGTCATGCATCAATTCATTAGAACAAACACAGAATATTAAAAGTTGCAGTAAAAATGAAGTTTGGACTAATTTTTTAACAACCTTAAGGTAATGTGGTAATTTGAACTTAATTATGCACTTAATAAGTGACTAACAATTGATCAAGACAAGCCTTTGAAATTCAATAATTTGCAAAATAGAATAAATCAAGACTAATTTCTGTTCAAGCTCAAGGTGAAGCTTGCTATTTTTCCGGTTGTGCTATTGGAAGAGCCTATATTGCATTAAATCTCCTAGGGTTTGTAAAACCCTTCAAAGAGTTCGTGGTGTTAGTCATTCAATAGTTTTGTGTCAGTTTTATCATGATTTTACAAATAATTTAGTAGATATATATATTTTAAACATGACGCTGTTCCGCCGCTCTGCTAGGGTTTCGCCCCATGGCGAACCCTAGCGTCTTTCGGCTTTGGGATTTACTCGTGTCGATTCGTCTCACATCGTCTGCTTCCATTCGCGTTGGCTTGCGTTTGCGTTAGCATCTCGTCTGGCGGCAGTGTTGCGGTCGTCTTCGTGCCTGCGTCTCGTTTGCGACAGAGCCGCTTGACAGCTTTTGCCTGTGTCTCTTCTGCGACAGAGCCGCTTGACACGTTCCTGCTTTTGCTGCATCTCGTCTGCTGCAGACCCGCTCGACCGCTCGACACCTTCCTGCTTCTGCTGCGTCTCCTCTGTGACAGAGCCGCCCGGTCTGCTCAACTATGCCTCTGCCGTCTGCGATAAAGCCGTTCGACACTTGTGCAGCTTCTCTCTATGCTACAGGTTGGCACTGGCTGCGGTAATGGCCTCAGGGCTTTCCTTCGCCGCCGCCCTCGCCGGTGATAACCCCGCCAAACCCTTCTATGCTACAGTGGTTCACAAACACAGCTCTCATTTTCATCTCGCAGATAGTGCGGTATTCCCGCAGATTTACCATGATTATGTTGCAGGAAATAACGATTGCAATCTTATAAAACAAGTAAAGAAAAAAGCGAACAAACCAGTAATTTTGTTTTATGACGCTGAAATTTCAACTCGTGCAGGAAAATACAAATTTACACTAGTTGGAAAGTTCCAATTACGTTGCCCTAAGATGGACATCAGGAAGGTTTTTGAAGATTTCAAACTGGTTGGGGATTAATAGGTGAGTCATTTCGATGGAAGACATGTTATGATACAGCTGAGCACAAAAGATGATTACACGAGGATTTTCTCAAAAAAATTCATCACAATTGAGGGCAAACATATGAAATTGCTTAAATGGACCCCTAATTTTAATTCCAGTCAAGAACCCCCAATTGCACCTATCTGGTTCTCATTACCTGAACTCAAGCTTCATTCTTTGACTAATCTATCTTATATGCATTTGGGACTATCCTTGGAAAACCTTTGCAGGTAGACTTACCTACAGTTCATTTCTCAAGGGCTTCTATTGCAAAGATTTTGATTGAGCGAGATAATACACTGCCAGATGTAGAAGAAGTCTGACTTGGATCTACTCACAATGGTTATTGACAAAAAATCATTATGGAACAAAAACCATGCTAATGCAAGTACTGCAAGATGTTTGGATACCCGCAGGAGAAATGTTTCAGATTGCACCCACAATATAGTCAAAAGCAGGAACACACTATTAGTGCACCCCATGTGCCTGAACGCGCTCCCAACAAACTTGATGACTGCCGACCTGTGGAGGGAATCACCACAAGGCAGGAGTTGGTGTCTGCCCCTGGGATCCCTTCTGCTGACCATACTACAACGGATAATATTCGAACTGAAAATCAGGATAATCCCACAACTCCTATTCAGGAAGCATCAGGTGCAGAGGTAACAATTTACACTTCACATACACTAGAACCTATCACGGTGGCAACGACTGTCTTTCCTCCTACTGTGGTGCTAACATCAAATCAGATCAATGATCACATGAGTCTGTCTTTAGATGAAGAATGACAGGTTTACACTTCTTGGCGGAAGAAGAAGACTGGGGGCTCACTCCAACTTGAAAACTTAATTGATGATACTTTGATGACTCCTGACAATGACACGACACTTCAAAGTTTTTTATCTGGTTCCGCTCCTAAAACTAGAGGAAGAGGCAGGACTAAACTAGCTCGTCCCTAGCCACTTGTTTTCTGCATGTTTTAAATTTTTTTGAGTTTATCTGTTTTACAGTTTATTGAGTCTATCTGTATCTTTTTATTGGGGTATTACTGTACTTGTATCGTATGGTAGGGTGCCTCTTTTGGGCCCTTCTCATACAACCTTTATGTATACTTTTCTATTTCAATAAAATCAGCCCTTGGGCTTTTCATAAAAAAAAAAAATATGTTATTTATCTTAACAAGCAGTAATCTCATCCATAATGATTTGTTTCAGCTAGTTTATCGTATAAAAAGATAAGCAAAAGTGAAGTATTTCAACTACAGTCCTCCGTCTGAAAAAATAATAATAAAAAAATTCCCAAAAAAGGTGGACGAAGCTATAATAGCTGAAGTTCCTCTTTCAAAAATAGTTGACACTACCAGAAGCTTTAATGTGCCTTCATAATATATATATATATATATATTTGTAAAACTACAAGCTCTACATGAAAGTTCATCTTGAGTGTTTTTCTCATTCTTTTTTTATTTATATTGTAACCATGGTTAAAACTGTAGAACTTACCATTCTTTTTCTTTATTAATATGAGATAATCTCTCCTAAGAGTTCGATGTAGCCTATGATGTATTGATGTGATTACGGTTTTTCTTTAAGCATTGGCGTTTCTTTTATCTTGCATGCTCTACATATCTTTTTTATGATTTTGATCATTTAATTAACTGTTTGGCCAACAATTGTTAGATTAGTGTGTCTATTTATAACTGAGAGGTGAAAAATAGACTTAACTTGAACCAACGTGCATAGTGGTGGATCATAATTTAGAGCTAATTGTGATGAACACATGTAATCCCTTTTGAGATTATGAGAGTATTGTTCACATCTCCTTGCATTGAACCTATTATGGCAAGGTAAGTAGATTGATTAAGAAAATGCAGACACCCCAGGCTTGCAAGAGCAAGGAAGAGACCACATCTGATGTAACTATAATTGCTAAAGATGAACCTCTTTGTTTGAAATGAAACCGCCAAAGTCAATCATTATAAGTGAAACTTAATACCTAGGTTTTAACTCTATTAATTATCTCTAACCTCAACTCTGTTTTGACAGTTCACATAATAACTTATATACATATATATTTTTTTCTTATGTTGTAATCATTGTGGGATATACTTGTACATGTGTTTTATTAATTGATCTAATTGTGTTCTCTTATGCAAGGCCTTACAGCACACCCCACACATCTGATCAGTAGTAACAAATAGATATTATTGAGGATTGTATTGCCAATGTCAATACTAAATCTATTTGTTATTACTTTGGGTAATATTTTATTTTATTCTAATTTTGACTGCAAGGATAAGATTATAAATATTTAATTTTGTGCTAAATGAGGTCAATACTCCATACGATTGTCAGGAGATGTTCAAGGACCTTCTGCGAAAATGCCTGGACCATAAAATGATAAAGTGTATGGAGGTCCAAATCTTTGATAATGAGTTGGCTGAGCTACCTTGAACATTAATTGATGCAGCAATAAGAGGCATTTTTATGAGTAAGAAGTAAGCGGCAACATACAACCTATGGGAGAAATTTTCCTTGAATAATTGTATTTGGTTGAATGAGTGATACTTTCAAAGAAGCCAAAGTTGTCATTCAAGAGCTTGACCCATTTTCACCCGCACTTGATACCCGTATTGCTTCCTTACCCAGGAAATTGAGTTTATTCTCTATCAATGTAGTTCATGCATTGATACTTTGTTGTGAACATTGCACAAATGGCCACCATATAAAGAAGTGCCAGATTAACAGTCCGTTTGCACACTATGGGTCAAAGTGGGGGTTTTCATTGCATTATGGTGTATATAAAAAAGATTATTGGGGAAGGCCTAAATATGGAGAGGCTTAGCTCACTATCTCTCTACACTTTTGGAGTTTCAATCCCCTCTACTCTCATCTTCTCTCAACATTTCAACCAGATATCATGTTATCATAGAGATCTAAGAGTACGTCCACCTTGATTCAACCATACTCTTTTAATTGAGCCATCTCCATAATATAATATTGTCTTCTTGATTATACTTAATTTATTTCATTCAATCATGATTTTTTGATTGAGTCATTATTTGAGTGTAGTTATGCTCTATTGATTATATTGTTTCTCTAGCCTAATCATTTATCTATATATGTATTTATGAAAAAAAAAAGAGAAAAAAAAAGACGTCGTCTCCCACGCTCGGTCCTGCTAGGGTTTCGACCCATATCGAACCCTAGCAACCCTTACTGCAAGATCTTTTCTCAGGCGTCGAAGCCGACATCGTCGTCCCTCTCCTTCGTCGTCGTCTCTCCTCTCCGTCATCATCGCCTCTCCTCTCCCGTCGTCATCCTCTCCGTCGTCATCGTCTCTCCTCTCGCGTCTCGTCGTCTCTGTTTTCGTCGTCGTCTCTCCTCTCCGTCATCATCGTCTCTCCTCTCGCGTCTCGTCGTCTCTGTTCGAACCTGACCGCGGCGCGCGGCTCGCGTCATTGTCCCTCCGACAGAGTTCGCAGTTCGCATCTCGTTGTTCTGTATCTCATGGAAGACGGGAAGGGGTCGCAGTGCCAGCGTCGTCGCCTTCCGCCAGAGGGTTCGCGGCTGTCTGCATTCACTGTGCCGATTGACAGCTTGCTGAAGAAATGGCTTCTTGACGTTCCTACGCCGCCACCCTCGCCAGTGATAACCCCGTCTCCGCCCCTCTTTCGAATATGTTTCCGCAACGATACCACGACAATTTTGCTCTTGGCATTGAAATCGGATTTCTCTAAAATGCTTCCCGTAAAAACGACAAACCTACAATCTTTCTCACTAAGGCAAAGATCTCCACCCTTGCTGCGCCTTGCCGACTGTTCTTAGTAGGTAAGTTTCTTTATGGAAACCCTAAACTTGAGCTAGTTCAAAAGGACTTTGAGCAAATGAAGCTGAAAGGGGGTTGGAAGATCGGTAAATTGGATGGTCGCCA